CTCCACTTTTTTTTTTTTTTTTGACAGGCAGAGTGGATAGTGAGAGAGAAAGACAGAGATAAAGGTCTTCCTTTGCCGTTGGTTCACCCTCCAATGGCTGCCGCAGCTGGCGCACCGCGCTGATCTGAAGGCAGGAGCCAGGTGCTTCTCCTGGTCTCCCATGGGGTGCAGGGCCCAAGCACTTGGGCCATCCTCCACTGCACTCCCGGGCCACAGCAGAGAGCTGGCCTGGAAGAGGGGCAACCGGGACAGAATCCAGCGCCCTGACCGGGACTAGAACCCGGTGTGCCGGCACCGCAAGGTGGAGAATTAGCCTAGTGAGCCACGGCGCCGGCCTGACAATTTTTTTTATATGCATCCAAAAGCACAGGGAACAGAAAGCGAAGACTGACAGGTCACATCAGACTGAAGCACCTGCACAGGGAGAGAACCAGGCAGCAGAGCGAAGAGACAGCCTGCGGAACGGGAGAGAAGAGCTGCAAACCGACAAGGGCGTGGTATCCTGAACATATCAGAAATCCAAGGAAATCAACAGCAAATAATAATAACCGTAATCCAATCTAAAATGGGACAGACATTTCTCAATGTCTATGCAATATATGAAAAAACGCGCCACGTCGCTCATCATCAGGGAACGCTAAGTCAAGGAGACAACCACAGATCAGCCGAGGAAACTTCAACTCATCCCAGCGGTCACGGCCATTGTCCAAACTACGAACAATCGCAAATCCTGGCGAGGAGAGAGAGAAAGGGGAGCTCTCGTACTGTGGTCGTGGGACACAAGCTAGTACAGCCATCGTGGAAACAGTCTAGAATTTCCTCCAAGAACTGGGAATACATTTGCCACGCGGTCCAGCAACCCCACTCCTGGGTTTGTATCCAAAAGGAGACGAAGCCAGCACGTTGCAGCAGCAGCTGCTCCTGTGTGTTTGTTGCAGAAGCATTCATGATAGCAAGATCTGGAATCAGTCCAGCTGTCCATCAACAGACAGATGGAGAAAGAAAAGGTGGGAAGGAAGACGACTCAGCCCCACGGGGATGAAATCCCGTCCCTTGCAGCAACACGGGTGGGGGTGCAGGGCGTGGCGTTAAGGGAGATATGTGAGGCAAAAGGCAAATACCACGTGTTCTCACTCATCTGTGGAAGCTGCAATGTCGGTCTCATGGACGTAGAGAGTGGAACAGCGGTTACCTGGGCCGGCGCTGGGGCACAGCAGGTAAACCCACCCCCCGCGACGCAAGCATCCCATATGGGCGCCAGTGCATGTCCCCACTGCTCCACTTCTGATCCAGCTTCCTGCTGATGGCCTGGGAAAAGCAGCAGAAGATGGCCTAAGTGCGTGGACCCCTGCTACCCGGGGGGGGGGGGGGGCCTGGAAGAAGTTCTGCCTCCTGGCTTTGACCTGGCCCAACCCTGGCCATTGCAGCCATCTGGGGAGTGAACCAATGGATGGAAGCTTGATCTCTCTCTCTTTCTGTAACTCCACCTTTCAAATAAATAATTTAAAAAAAAGAATAGTGATTACCAGATCTTGGGGAGGCTGTAGGGGAAGGAGAACAGAGAGTGTAACCCAGGGGTACAGGTGGGGAGGAGTAAATTCGGGTGTTCCTTTTTAAAAAAAAAATATTTATTTATTTGAAAGGTCGAGTCACAGCACCAGCCCCTCTGATGTTCCCTAGCACAGCAGGGTAGCCATGGTTGACAGCAATTAATTGCATATTTCAAGTAGCTGGTAGAGGGGATTTAAATGTTCCCAACACAAAGAAATGATAAATGTCTAAGGTAATGGATGTTCTGATCGATACACAACGTATTGAAACGTCACACCGTACCCCATAAATAGCTACAATTAATATGTCAAAGATCAAAAATCTATAAAAACAAAAAAGTTTTCATTAAGTAAAATAAATAAATAACAGTTGTCAGAGTCTATCAAAAGCTTACATGCATATATGCTTTGATATGCTAATTGCTGTTTTGGAATTCACACAAGTTTACAAAGATGTATGGACAAAGACTTGCAATAGACCAGTAGTGAAGAATGAGACAGCTGCTTCCAAGAATCCCTTCGGCTACCCCAACTCAATCTTGCCACCCATCACTGTGCAGGCAGCCCACCCCGGCGTCCTGTGGGATCCTTATATTACCGTGAGGATCTTTTTTTTTTTTTTTTTTTTTTTTTTTTTTGACAGGCAGAGTGGACAGTGAGAGAGAGACAGAGAGAAAGGTCTTCCTTTGCCGTTGGTTCACCCTCCAATGGCCGCCGCAGCCGGTGCGCTGCAGCCGGCGCACCGCGCTGATCCGAAGGCAGGAGCCAGGTGCTTCTCCTGGTCTCCCGTGGGGTGCAGGGCCCAAGCACTTGGGCCATCCTCCACTGCACTCCCGGGCCACAGCAGAGAGCTGGCCTGGAAGAGGGGCAACCGGGACAGAATCTGGCGCCCCCACCGGGACTAGAACCCGGTGTGCCGGTGCCGCAAGGTGGAGGATTAGCCTAGTGAGCCACAGCGCCGGCCACCGTGAGGGTCTTGACTGTCTTCTCCAGCCGCTCTGTTGGGACCCCAGGCCTAATTGCACTGGAGCAACATCGCTGTGCCCCACCCAGCCCTGTGTCCCTGGGGAACCGAACTCCCTTGTCCAACCCAGCAGGCACATCCCTGGCAGATCCATTGTTCCTAAAAGCAGCACTCTTAGGCTCTAAAGCCTTGGGAATTCCCCAGTTCCCACCAAATGAGGACATGTCCATGTCCCTCCCCCGCCCCCCACCATTCATCACCCTGCTCCCCCTAACTTCCCTAACCCTTGCCAGTCCTCCTGCTGCAGTCCCAAAGACTTGCCTTCCAACCAGCAGGCATCAGCCCCTTAACAGATGCACCTGCAAACAGCCTCTCCCCTCCCCCTCCCCATGCCCTGCCCCACCGTGCCCCTCCTTCCTGGCCTAGATTTCGACACTCAGGGAATTCGAGGACTCCCAAGAGCAGTGGTCTCTGGGGGTGACCCTCAGCCGCTGGGTTTCAGACTGGCTTCCTTGCCCCGAGAACCCGTGCAGGTGGCCACAGAAATTCTTTTAGATACAACTGCTTTCCAGAGAGTGAAGGTACCGGGAAGGACATTCAGAGCTCTGTCAGCTCCCTCCACCTCCCACCCCACCTGCCTGTCACCTGGGCCTGGGGACTGATGGAGGCGGGCTCGGCTGGGAGCTGGGAGGTCAAGGGTGACCCTACAGAGAGGGAAGGCCTGCGTGCTGAGGCAGGGTGGGACTGGGACCACGGGAAGCGTCTGGAATAGAGGAAAGGACCCCCTCAAAGAAAGAGGAGCAAAGAGATGCCCACACTTAACTCCACTTACACCAGATTCCCCTCTGTGGGGCACCCTGAACCCAGGATAGGAAGACAAAACCCCTCCCCGGCCCTCTTTCCTTTCCTCATCCTCCCTGCCTCCCCCGTGTCTTTCTGGGGGGGTGGGGGACGCTCCTGGGTGGCAGGGGCAGCCTCCAACCCTCTCCTCCCCCCCCCCCCCCCCCCCGCCAGGGACCAGGCACTGACGCCACCATGGCAGAGGCCAGACTCTCTTGAGACAAGTGGAGGAATTCCCTGGCCCATGGTCAAGTGCACTTTTCTCAAGTGTGGCGGGTCCGTCAAATGACACGTTATGAAGTGGATCCTTAAGTTACAAAAAGCTTTCCTTTTTTTTTTTTTTGGCCATCACTTTAAGCACTTGCTTTTGTCCTGGCAGGTGCAAGGGGCTCCTGAGTCGTTTGAATTCAGTTCTGAGGCTGCAGGAGGCAGAGTAATTACGTCAGGAGCAACCCCAGCTGATTGCAGAAGAGGAGCCTGAGGCCCACAGAGTGACTCGGGTGCTGTAGTTGGCCAGGGACAAAGCCAGGACTGGGTCCCGCGCCCGCCTGCCTGCACCCTCCCACACCGCACGGGACCCCAGGATCACCTGAGGACGGGAACCATGTGGAGGCTGCTGACCAGGACAGGTGGGCTGACCAGTAAGCTCATGCAGCTAAACTCCAGGGCCCCCGACCCCAGGCCCCTCCCAAGGCCCTGCGTGCATTTTCTATCTGTACATTTGTGTCTGTTCTATGAGAGAGGATCTCTCAGGCCCCACCAAAACCTGGACCTGCCTCTGCTTACTGCCCAGCAGCCACTCACAGGAAGCTGAATCTCAGAAGGAAAATTCCAGAAGCCCCAGGTCTCTCCAGAATCCCCATGATGTGACTCTCTCGGGAGCAGGTCCAGGATGCTCCGGGCAGAGGAACAGGCCTTGGGGGAGATCTCCCAGAGCAGTGCAAATGGCCTGTGGTGCTTGACCTTAGAACATCCAAAGGCCTCTTCCCTTCCAGGATCCAGGGGACAGCTCTCCTGTGCTCCGAACGGTCCAGGGACTCATAATCCCATTGGCATTACCCATGGCCATCGATGACCTCGTCCCATCCCGTCCACTCTCACGGGGGACCAGAAGCCCGAGAAGGGTCAGCAGGCCCAGGAAACAGGACAGGGCACACCAGGGACGGCAGAGGAGGGAAAGGCGTATCTAAAGATCTGAGCTTGGAGGCCACCGCTGGTGGCACCCGCACAGGAACTGGCCTGCTGGGAGGGAAGCGGAGGCTGAGGCTGTCCCTTGGTCCATTCAGCTGCTGTAATAGAAAGGTTACAAAGGAAGAGGGTTGTGTGAAAAATTTCTCCTACAGGTCTGGAGCCTGGGACCCCGCCCCTCCGCGGCATCAAGCCCCCAGCAGACTTGGTGTTTGGGGAGAGCTCCCTCTGGCTCCTTGAGGATGGCCTCTAGCAGCGCCCTCATGTGGCAGACAGGGGAAAGGCAGCTCCCTTGGGCCTCTTTCACCCTCCACCTCCCTTCCATTGGGGGTCAGGATTGCAACATACCGGGAAGATACAAACTTGCAGTCCGTAGCTGGCAGGCAGAGAGAAGACGAGGAAGGGACTTTTTTTTTTTTTTTTTTTTTTTTTTTTTTTTTTAGATTTATGGATTTGAAAGGCAGAGCAATGGGGAGTGGGGGGGAGATAGAGAGAGATCTTCTATCTGCTGGTTGGATGGGCAGGACAGGAGGCGGGGCTATGGAGCAGGACTCCCAGGGGCTGGGCGCAGCAGTGGGGAGGGAGCAGTTCGTCCCAGCTCCTCTGGGTTTGTCCTGGACTTTCCGAGTTCTAGCACTAGGAGTCCCGCGTTCCTGGAAACCTCCCGGTCCCAGGCATCTGTCACCCCTCACCCCCTGGGCTTGGGCTGGCAGCAGCCCTGGGGCCTCTGTCCAGGATGGAGAACCAGGCTTCAGCCAGCTGAGGAGTCAGGACACCAGGCCGACGATGGTCAAGGCTGGAGGGCGTTTTCAGGTACAAACCATCCTTTACCACATGGGGACCCCAAAACCTTGCAGCCTTCCAAGGTGGCACCAATCCTCCGCGTTGCTTATCACACCACATGGATTCTCGGTTTTTTGTTTTGTTTCTTTTGTTTTTTGTTTTGTTTTTGTTGTTGTTGTTGTTGTTTGTTTGTCTTTGTTTTTGAGAGACAGACCCGTGCACAGAGAGAATTTCCATCCAGCTGGTTCCCCAAATGCCCCAGCGGCCAGGGGTTAGGCTGAAGCCAAAAGCTTGGAACCGGGAACCCGAGCAAGGTGAGTGGCAGGGACTCATCACGCATGAGCCATCAGCCCAGCCTCCCAGGGTGCACAGGGGCAGGAAGCTGGAGTCCGGAGCTGGAGCCCAGTATCAAGCCCAGGTGCCCTGCTGTGGGATGCGGTGTCCTAACCACTAGGCCCACCTTCTATCCCTCCTTAGATGGCTTTTAGCTCTAGGATGTGTCTAAGGCCGTGCTTCTGACAGCGTGGTGCCTGCACCAGCGCACCACCAGGGAGCTTGCGCCCCAGACCCACCGCATCAGAAGCACTGTGTTTTAGCAAGCCTTACAGCCGATTCTGGTGAGGGCCAAGTTTAAGAATCACCACTCAGGGCTGGCACTGTGGTGTAGCGGATAAAGCCACTGCCTACAGTGCCGGCATCCCATATGGGCACTGGTTTGAGACCTGGCTGTTCCACTTCCGATCCAGCTCTCCACAAATTTTTAAAGGGTGTTCGCAGCGAACTAGTAAGGATGCAGCCCTGTCATCTGTCGCCACCTCCCCGCTCCCTGCCAGGATTGCACAAAGATACTACATTCACAGGTGGGCTCAGGACAGCTCCTCTGAAGCCTTGGGAAAAGAAGGGGGAATGAGGGGCCTGTGCTGTGGTGTAGCGGGTAAAGCCGCCGCCTGCAGTGCTGGCATCCCATGTGGGCGCCAGTTCAAGTCCTGGCTGCTCCACTTCTGATCTAGCTCTCTGCCATGGCCTGGGAAAGCAGTGGAAAATGACCCAAGTTCTTGGGCCTCTGCACCTGCACGGGAGACCTGGAAGAAGCTCCTGTCTCCTGGCTTTGGATTGGCGCAGCTCCGGCCATTGCGGCCAATTGGGGAGTGAACCAGCGGATGGAAGACACCCCCCCCCCAGCTGCCTCTCCTTCTCTCTCTGTGTAACTGTGACTTTCAAATAAATAAGTAAATCTTAAAAAAAAAAAAAAAGAAAAGAATTCCCGTGGATTTTCCAGATGCAACAGCAGCGCTGTGTGTCCACTCCTCCCCGTGTCCTGCAGGGCTCTGCTGTGGTCTGAGCATTTGTGTCCCCTCCATCAAGTTCCTGTGTTTAAAGTCCAGCCTGAAAGGCACTGGGGCTAAGAGCCGGGCCCTCTGAGAGGTGATCAACCAGGGGACTGGAGCCCCGAGAGCCCCCGCCCCTCCCTGTGTGGGAAGATGGCCGCGTACCAGAGCCTCACCAGGCACCGGACCCGCCAGGGCCTTGATCTTGGCCTTCCTGGTCCCCGGAACTGTGAGGGGGAAGTTTCTGTTGCTTACAAGCCATGGTGTTTTGTTCTAACCTGAGTGCACTAAGCGGGCTGTGGTCTCAGGCACCCAAAGGGAGTGGCCCAGCTTGGGGCAGGGAGCAGGGGGCTCCGTCTCCAATTCGGGCATCTACCCAGTGGCTGCTCTTTAAGGTAAAGGACCGATCGTGAGCCCAGCAGGGAAGGATGTTCCAGGAAGCCACGGACCCCGAGGGTGAGGACAGAACCTGCTGGGAGTACTCACTTCCTGCCCAGCCAGGCCTCCCCCCACCCCTGTTCACACCCTGTTATTTAGAGCTCCGGAAGCCGCCGTCCTCGGGACAGTGTCACCTGGACAAATTGGCCACCAGGGAAAAGTGCCCGAAAGCAGCCTGCCCAGACCGATCGATACTGAATTGCCAATGAGCGGTTTTCAATCCGAGCCTCGAGACGCCTGCTGGCTGGAACCAGCGCGGCTCACTTCACAGCCGGGCAGCCCGGGTTCCAGCCCACAGTCACGGCCAGATCGGAGGCCGGAGGGCAGGGTTCTCGACCCCGGTGAGCTGGCCCCGCAGGGGGCATTTGACAGACTCTGGACACATTCAGCTGAGGGTGCCGCTGGCATCGGCAGAGGCCAGGCTGCAGCAGGCACCGGGCAACTCCCACAGCAGAGTTGCCCGGCCCAGGTGCCCACGGGGCCGAGGAGGGCTTAGGCCGTCCTCTCCTCAGCACGGAAATCCCGCTGATGTCTCTGCCTCTAACCCCACTCTTAAAGCATCCCTGCTCGGCCCACAGACACGCCCAGGGACACACACACACACAGTGCCCACACACACACACTCAGACACAACATACACACATAAATACATACAACATACATACAAATACATGTCTACATACAAATACATATATACATCTACACATATACACATATACATACACACATCTACATATGTACAGCACACATATACACAAATACATATATACATGCATATACACACATCCACACAAATACATAAATACATACACCCATATACATACACATATACATACATAGGGCACACATATATACACATACATATATACATGCATACATATATACATACGTACATATATGTGCATATATACACAGATACCTATATACACACATGTGCATGCATACACACACATATAAGCATGCATACACATACACAATACACACATATACACATCTACACGCATCTACACACATACATGCACATATACACGCATACAACACACAAACACATGCATACATGCAAATACATATATACATACAAATATATACACACGTACAACACACATACACACAAATACATAAATATACACACATATGCATATATACACACAGGCATGTGCAAATATACACATACATACATACAACACACATATACACAAATACGGGTATACACGTACATATACATACATACACATAGACATATGTATACACACATGCATATGTACACACGTGCACCTACACAAATATGCACACACACATACACACCTATGCATATATACACAGACACATGCAGACTTACACATTGTCACACACACACGCCTTCCCAGCAGCGAGCTCCCACACTAACATAGGACAAGCCCTGCCCACTGCGCAAGACCTGCAGAGCCTGGTCCCCTGTGCCTTTCCAGCTTTGCTTCCCTGTTTCCCCGCCCTCTCTCACCTGCTCTTCCTACCCCCGTGGTTCTAAGGTGGAGCTCCCAGCAAGCCCCTCCCCTCAGGTTGGGGGAGGGTGCGGGCAGGTGCTGTGGCTCAGCAGGTTAAGCTGCTGCTGGGGGCACCTGCATCCCATATCAGAGCGCCATCTGAGTGCAGTCCCTCCTCATTTCCCTAATGCACCTGGGAGGTGGCACAGGATGGCTCCCTGAACCCCTGCCACGCATGTGGGAAACCTGGATGGAGTTGCTGGCTCTTGGAGTCTGCCTGATGCAGCCCTGCCTGGCTGTTGTGGCCATTTGGGGAGTGAACCAGTAGGAGGGAAGAAGATATTTGTCTCTCTGTCTCTTCCTTTCCCTCTCTGTCATTCTGCCTTTTAAATAAATATTTCAAAAGTAAATAAATGGGACCTAGGTGGCTGGGTGTGTAGTGTGCAAAAGACGCAAACGCACCTGCGCAGGACACAGAGCCAGGTGCACACTGGAGTGCCGTGTGCAGAGTGGGAGGGCCCAGAGACTGAGGGGACCCGGCCACACCTCCCCAGCCCCTTGAAGACCCCTTGATCTCTTTCTGCTCTGCTGCTGTCATCTTCATGCACGGGTGTAAGTTCCCGATAAATCTTGTGTGGGTTCCGTGTTGGCCCCTTGTCGATCGCTATCACAAGAAGTCCATGAACCTTGTGCCTGGTGTCCCGACCTCCCCTGCTCCTGCTGGTGCCTCCCACTAGAGGACATGTGGCCCATCGAGGTTGGCGACCCCTGGGCTCAGAGTGCGGGAAGAAGGGTCCAGAGTAGATCCAGGGGGCACGCAGAGGGGTTCCCGCGGGCCCCGCCCCTACCCTGAAACCCCAGAAGCTAGAATCCACGTCAGACCGGCCACTGGGCCCACGGCAAGCCCAGGGCCTTGCTCAATCGTAGGTCACACATACATATTTGGCGAATGAACCTTTCACCAGCTGCCACTCTGCACATCCGGTGATCAGTTTTCAGACATTTTATGGAACTGGGTCACTCAGAACCATCCAGGAATGTTCATGGCACCACCGCGGGCAAAGCTGGCAGCCAAGGCACGGTGACACGGCTGGAAAAACCGGTTTGTCTGCTTCCCAACTCCATCAAATCATCCTCGAAAACACAACTCTAAAGTGGGGGCCAAGGTTGTGGTGTAGCAGGGAAAGCCACCACCTCTGATACCAGCATGACTTATGGGCGCCGGTTCATGTCCCGGCTGCTCCACTTCCCACCCAGCTCCCTGCTAACGGCCTGGGCAAAGCAGCGGAAGATGACCCAAGGGCTTGGGCCCCTGCCACCCAGGTGGGCGATCTGGAAGAAGCTTCTGGCTCCTGGCTTCAGCCTGGCCCAGCCCCAGCTGTTGCGGCCATCTGGGGGTAGTGAATCAGCAGATGGAAGGTCTCGCTCTCTCTCCCTCTCTCATAAATAAATAAATCTTTAAAAAAAAAAAAAGAAACCCTCAAAAGTAAGGCTGTGTCAGACCTGAGAGGAGCAGTCAGTTATGAGCCACAGCAGGGAAATCAATCTCTCGTAAGTGAAATAAAACCAAACCCAAATGAAAAGGAGAAAATGGACTGTGAAACTCAGCTGGAGTCCGGCTGTGTTTGCGGGGCACCTACTACATGCCAGGAGCTGGGCTAAGAGGTTTACGTGGCGATGTCTTGAAATGTTCCTGAAAAACGCACATCGTGAAAACTGAAGCCGTGGATTTCGGATTTCTTTGCACCAAGATAAGCTTACCTTTGACTTTCCTTTCTCATGAGCTATTTTTTTTTTTTTTAGATTTATTTATTTATTTGAAAGGCAGAGAGTTACAGAGAGGCAGAGGTGGGGGGAGGGGAGAAAGAGAGAGAAAGGGAGGGGGAGAGAAGTCTTCCATCTGCTGGTTCACTCCCCAAACAGCCAGGAGCCAGGAGCTTCTTCTTGGGCCATCTTCTACTGCTTTCCCAGGACACAGCAGAGAGCTGGATGGGAAGAGGAGCAGCTGGGACTCGAACCGGCACCCATATGGGATGTCAGCACTGTGGGCAGTGGCTTTACCCGCTGAACTACAGCGCCAGCCCCCTCATGAGCATTTTGAAGCCCTCATGTATTTAATCTGCTTTAATCCTTTCCATGGGCATTTGAGCAGGAAACCAATGTTTTGTTCCTTTTTACAGATGTCAAACTGAAGTACGGGGAAGTTATGCAAATTTCCCAGATTCTGAACTGAAATCCAGGTCTGCCTAGTCAAGCCCAAATCTCACTGGAAAATGCAGAGAGAGTTAAAAGTTGAGCACCAGATACCGCAAAAGTGCAAACCCAGTGACTGCACCAGTGCCGCTTCGCAGCCCCACGCTATGCAAGGCGCTTCTTTTTTTTTTTTTTTTTTTTTTTTTTTTTTTGACAGGCAGAGTGGACAGTGAGAGAGAGAGACAGAGAGAAAGGTCTTCCTTTGCCGTTGGTTCACCCTCCAATGGCCAATGGCCACCGTGGCTGGTGCACTGCGGCCGGCGCACCGCGCTGATCCGAAGGCAGGAGCCAGGTGCTTCTCCTGGTCTCCCATGGGGTGCAGGGCCCAAGCACTTGGGCCATCCTCCACTGCACTCCCTGGCCACAGCAGAGAGCTGGCCTGGAAGAGGGGCAACCGGGACAGAATCCAGCGCCCCGACCGGGACTAGAACCCGGTGTGCCGGCGCCGCAAGGCGGAGGATTAGCCTGTTGAGCCACGGCAGCAAGGCGCTTCTTAAAAGTACTGGTGGCCACGTCCAGGGCCTCGGGGGCCTCGATGACCAGATGTCCACACACAGCTGGCACTGTGCTTGGGAGTGAATGCAGTCTTTGGGAAATGCACCATACCAGCTCCACAGGGACACAGTCGCCATGATGGCTGGGGGTCCTCCTCCCGTGGCCAGCAACCTGGCTCACCGCACCCACGAGAAAGTTCTCAGCTTGAGGGACAAGGTCTTGGCACCACCTCTGTGCTCTTTTGGGGCCAGGAGGGAGACAGGTTTTCCAGCTAGGGGATAAACTGTGCTTCCCTATGCATGACCCAGACCCCACCCAGGAGCAGCCTTCCCCCAGAGAGTTG